ATTTCTAATGTCCTAAACCTGAAAAAAATGGTGTAGTTTTCTTAAGAAGTCAGATTACACAATTAGTTAATGTTTTCACTACTGAGCTCAACACATCACTTACAACTTCTATTCAACAAGTTATGAAAAAAATAAAATAACTGTATAAGTTTGAAGGTATGTCGTTGTACTTGTATTCAATGAAGTTGTTAGAAGATCCCACTAGAAAAGAGTTATTTATGTTAATGACACATGAGCATAGGATTAATTACTTACGTTACTTTTATGACAATCAAAACGTATGCCTATCATGTTATTTTTAATATATTTTTTATGTTTCTCATATGGGTGCATGACATATATTACTTTTATATTTGAGTGTTACAATGTTTCATTTTTTTTATATTGATGACCATGTGTTTACCAATGTTATCACTTTTTTTAATATATTACTTTCTGATTTATGATACTAATTGTGTTCGTCTTCTTTTAGAATAACAAAAATTAATAACTTTTATAGAAAAAGAGATAGAAGAAGTTTTATGGTTGCATTATGTTTAATGTATTTAGTATTACAACTCATATATTGCTCGCACTCTTTGCACGACATATGCATACATTGGTGACAAATGGGTTGGAAAATTACTTTCAAGTCATCAAAAACTATTTAACATGTTTTAATGGCATATGTTATATTTATTAACATGTTGGAAGAATTGCATCAAAATCAAGGTCTTCATGGCTCATCTAGGATGACTTCAAGAGAGACGTTAGCTATAACTTTCTATCTATATATTTTATCTTAAAATAAATCTATAAGAGAGTTCATAGAGTGATTCCAACACTCATAAAAAAATAATTAGTATATATTTGGTAGTTTGGCAGTTGGTTTGAATGCTTATCTTCAAAAGTTATTAAACTTGAAGACCTAACATTCCAAAGTACACCTATAGAGATTTTAAAAGATCAACGCTATATGTCATACTTTAAAGTAGATTTATGTGTTTATCTTTTCCAAAATTTACTTACATGCAGTAACTTTAATATGTTATTTAAATGATTTAAGATGATATTAAAGCAACTAATGAAGCACATGTAAATGAGCCTATGTCTAACTGTAAAAATATTGCATGTATTGGACGTTGTGGTTCACTAACACAGAGTGTTATGATTGTATGTGATTTCAATATGTGTTTCACTTTTATAATGGTTGGATGAGAAGACAACGCACATGATAATCATATATTCAAATTTGTTTCGTGAAGTTATAAACACAATTTTCTCAGTCCGCTTTCAAGTTTGCTTGAGTATAACTGAATTAAATATTTTTTTTCTTTACAATACTAATGATTACACTTTTAATAGAAAAATATTCTTTTGTTGATACTTGCTATTCATTACAAAGAGAGTATCTCAAATCATTTCCTAATATAAAATATCACATTCATGATTTCGAATAAGTTAACTGTCAATTTTATTTTTGGTTGGGTTATTTAAAAGTCATACATATTCAAAGATCTAATTATTTAAATAATCAAACACGACATCAAATGTAATATATTATCTTAAAAGATAGAAATATCACTTTAAGATAGATTCAATTACTTAAACAAAGAAATTTGGAATATTTGTAAGGTTTACGATTAAAATCCATCAAATCCTTCTTTCATCTAATATGAATCTTAGATAGGGTTTAGAAGATCTAATTAGGAGAGGTTCTTTATGTCATTGACACCAAATTGTAGGGTCAGTTATTTGCTTTACTTTTATAAGAATAGCGATGTAAGACAATTATGTTATTTTTAGCTTTTTTTATGTTTGATTGAAATGGGTGTAGAACTTACTATTATATCTTCAATTATTTCTAGACTTATCATTGTCAAGGTTTTTATTTAATTTATTACTTGCTAATAAATAAATGTTATTTATGTGTTAGCCTTAACAACAATGAATAACGTGTATAGAAAAAGATGCAAAGATAAAATGGCAGCTGCATTATGTCTAATGTATGAGTAACTCATATATTGATTATTAACCTTGCATGACATCCATATACATTAGTAACAAATAGCCTAGAGAGTTGCTTGTGAATCATCCAACAAAATTTAACAATATGTTTTGTATGACACATGCTATTTTTACTGATCTATTAAAAGAAATTCATAGACACCATGAACTCCATGACTCATCTAGGATGACTTCAAGAGAGATGTTAACTATAACTTTCTATATTTTATCATAAAATTTATTTATGAGGGGAGCCATTGAGCGATTCCAACATCATCAGAAATAATTAATAAATATATTTTTAATTACTTTGAATTCCATGATCAGCTTATCCTTAATAATTATCTAACCTGAAGACCATACAAGCATCCATATGGACATTTCATAAGATCAATGCTTTATGACATGTATTAAGGTAGATTTTTGTGTTTACATTTTCCAAAATTTACTTAAGCGCAATAACTCTAATATCTTGCATGAATGACTTAGAGTTGCATTGGAGAAATTGATGGAATACATGTGGATGGATATGTGTCTAGTTGTGAAAGGACTGCATACATTAGATGTCATGATTCACCAACACAAAACATTATGGTTGTATGTGATTTCACTTTTGTAATAGCTGGGTTGGACGATAACGTACACGATAGTCGTACATTCAAATTTGCTACACAAACTCATAAATACAACTTTCCAAAGCCGTGTTCCAGGCTTGCTTGAAAATAAATAAATAAAATAATTATTTATGTACAATACCAATAAATATACTTATAAAAAAAATATTAATTGGTTGATGTTGGATATCATACAAAAGATCATATTCCTAATTTTGAAAGAGCCAACAAACTTACTCAGGGCAGAAAATAGATATTTAATAAGAGATGCTCATCTTTACATAGTGTTATTGAGTGGACATTTGGGGTTTGAAAACAAATGTTTTATTCTACGAGATATGTTCACATATTTTTTCAACAAACAAGTAAAGATTATGTCGTTATAATGGCTCTCCACAGTTACATTCATCAGCATTCTTCACGTAATGATATTGATTTCAATAGTGCTAATAAAGATCAATCACATGTCCCTACTAAGGTATATGATTATTGCCTCAGCCAATCAATATCATAAGTTGAATGTGATTTACACGAGTCTCGTACACATTATGAGAAAGGTGATAGGGAGATGATGGAATTGAGAGAGTAAATTACAAGTGCAAAAGTTAATGGGTGAAATGATGTCATACACTTAATTTTCTTTACTTATGTATAATATTTTGTAAAAACACTTAATGTTTATTATAATGATGTTTTATGCAATAATTTTCATGTGAAAACTCAATTTAGTGCAAATTATTTTTTTATTCTATCTATATCTATTTTTTTCACACGCATGATCTCTTAGGCAACCGTGAGTTTAATATAAATTTTGTTTGCATTTTTTTTAGTTTTGAGGTCTATGATAACATATATGACCTAGGGGTTCTTTTGGATGACCTATATGTTACTATGGATTCTAACATGTATGAAATTATCATCAAGGCAACCAAAATCCCCCTTCTATTTTGGTCATATGACTATTGGGGTTATTCTGGATGGCCTTTGTGGTGATATCCTTCTGTGGCACATATGAGCTCGACATTATATGGTTTAAGGGAAACCAAGATCTCTTTCTTTTGTAGTCATATGATTGTTGGGGTTCTTTTAGATGATCTTTGTGGTGATATGCTCTTGTAAGACATACGAGCTCTGTATTACATGATTTATCCCCTTTCTTTAAACTCTTCAATCTTCTTGTAGTGACATATTATTGGTCAGTTTATCTTTTGCTTTGAGACCACACAACTTTGTAAGGTTTTAATTATGTATTATTATTATTATTATTACTTAATTTTTCATCTGACTATTTGTGATTTTAAATCGTTAGAAAATTTGAGCTCAAGGTCTTTCAGTGTCTCTAGAGTATTGTACTGCAACTTTAGATTGTAATATTCTCTACATACTACGATAAAAGCATAACTATGAGAGAAAATTTTATAAGTGCCTGATGATTAGATCAGTAGAGGATTGTGACTTTTTCAGGTGGGTCAATCAGTTAAACGAATCCATCTTATATAATGGTTAGACGTGGAGAATTTCTTTCGAGAAAAAGTTATCTTATAAAATTGATCGTCTGCATTTCAAATTAATATTATGACAATGTTAATTATTTTTTAAATAGTTTTATTTTTAATTTTGATTATTGTGTTACTCACCGTTTAGTAAGATATAAATTTTTAGGTGTAATATTTGAACTTATGAATTTTTGAGGATTCTGAATTTAATTTCTGTTTTCATATATGAATTATTTAAACTAGGTTGGTTCTACTATAAGCAACAGAAAATATAATGACAAAAAGTTTTTTTTTTATTATAAATAGCTACAACACAACTGCTGCTGCATAGGAGTACAAAACAAACAAACAAACACACATCTTCCCTGTTACAATTTCTGCTCAGTAGCTTCTTAGGACAATTGCTTCACATAAGTTTTTCAAAAAGCTACAGTTGTCCGAAACATGTTGTAAATCTGTTGTTTTTATATTAATAAAAACTATCCCGTATTTACGAGACCATTTAGCCACAACTTCTTCTTTGGTGTATATTTGGTAGCCGCTTTTAAGCAGGATTTAAGCAGAATTTATGCTAAAACCTGCCCAATGGCAAAAATTGATCGTGTAAATCCTAAGTATTCTTAAATCCCATTTTGCATTCCTTTTGCCTTAAATCCAAGATTTATCAAATATCTTAGGAAGTCAGATTAATCAGATTTAGAGAAGTTGAAATATTTGAGAAGAAAGATACTAGTAAACCCTATTAAAATTCTCAAAAAAAAAAAATTCAATTTTATAAAAATTTATTTTTCACATACTAAATAATCTTTTAAATTTAATTTCTTCAATATTTCAAAATTTTGAATTTACAAAATTTACTAAATCCTATTCAAATTAAATCAAACCTAGAGCTGTCGAGGCTTGGCATAATGCCGTGGTTTTTAAGGTTTCCATCTAACAGGGTCTTAGCGTTCGAACTCTGAACCCACTCTACAGTAAGCTCAAGTCACCGTCGACGAAGCCGACCCCAATGCCTTCTCCGGCCGCTTGCTTCACTCCCCACAGTCCCATTCCTTCTCCCTCCTCTCGTTCATCTCCACGTTCTCTGAGCAGCAGAATCGTTTCCACTTCTCTCCATCATTTGTCAGCAGTAAGAGTTATTCGCTACCCTGCTTTACCTTCTCCTGAATCACCTGTTCTCCTACGATTTCTGATGCTTTCTTTCTTGATCTAGGGTAATTTTAGGTACAGAAAAAACAGAATTAGGTCTTGGAACATCACAAGAGGTGCTTAATCCTATCCAGGAAACGACTATGGTCTTCTTCCGTGTAATCATTGTGTAGCTTAGTCTTTTTTTGTTTTTCTCTCGCAGGGGATTCTGTTATTGTTGCTCCAGTGAAGGTAATGTCCTACTTGCCTAATTCAGATAGTTGCCCCGGGGAAAATGTGGTATCTTCCCCATCGCCTAATTTAGAAGTTAAGAGCGCAGAGAGTATAAAAGAGTTTGCAGGTACTAGGAGGTTAGAGTCCTCTGAAAGGATCAGCTTGGACCCATTCCGTGGCAAATCAGGATGTGTTTCTTTCTGTGGATTAAGCTACCAACTCCTTGATGCAAGGAATTTGGTGTCTTCCCCATTCGAAGATGGAAAGGGTTCTATGATTTGGGTTGTCGCCCCAGTAGCATTGATATCGTCGTTACTACTTCCGCAGTTTTTTCTTAACAATGCTATTGAAGCATTTGTGAAGAATGAGGTCTTCACAGGTATTTGAAAGTTGTTGATTTTTTTAAACCTTTTCTTGCCTTCCATGTCTAATTCATTTGATTTAACACTGCTTATAAAACAATTGGACAGATCATTGACAGGCATAGTTTCATATTGGTTCATGAATCAATACATGATTTTTATGCTTTCATGTTTGCATGTTTTTGAATTTCATGATCTCTTTGGTTTGGCAAGTGGAAGAATTATTTAGCTTTTTTGGTTTCGATCCGGGCTTGCTGAATTGGGACGACATAAGGTTCAATTTTTTCTAGTGAATGTTGTGCAACATGGCTATAATAGCTTGTTGAACTGACGTGATAGCTAAGCTTTTAGCTTATGAATTAAGTGGTTAGTTTGGTCCTTGGGTTGGTTTAACTAGGACTTCTTATTGAAGCTCAACCTCTTAGACTTGTTGAATTCAGTCTCATATGTTGGCTAGGCTTTCGGGACTCGTATAATCGGAAAAGTAGGTGAATTTATGTGTTAAGAGATTTTATTAATCAGCTCTTGGGCTTGTTGACTTGGGAAAGGTGTAATATAGTCCTTGGATTTGTTGAAGGTCGTGTCAATTCAGCTATTGAACCTTTGCCAAATTGACATGATCACCCAACTTTAGGGCGTTTGAGTTGGGAGGCTGCTACTTTGATCATTGAGCATTTTGAATTGGGACTTAATTTTCTATCCTAGTTCTTAGACATGTTAAATTTATAATTCTTCTGTTGATTCTGCTATTGGAGCACATTGAATTAATAAAGTAGCCGGACCTTTAGATTTGTTGGTTGTGAGGATTTGTAGTTATCATGAGTAGTTTTACTTGATCCTGAACATGGGTTGCCAATTTGTTTAAAAGATTGCAACCATAAGGCTAAATTAAATTGCTTTAAAGAGGATTTATAACAAATTGCCCCCTTTCTAGTAGAATTTTAGGAGGCAACCCCACTTTTTTTTCTGAGATTTTTGGAGTGATAATAGTTTATCTAGTTTACTTCTTAATCTTAGTATATTGGTCGAGAATGTTCATCCAATATGGATAGTTTGATATTCGGGTTTGTTTTGTTTGGATTATTGCTTGGTTACCTATAATTGAGGCAAATACCTTAGCAGGCTTCTGGTTTATGTTCTTTTGGAATGAGGAAGTGTCCTTCCCAATTTTATCCAAATTTGGCAATAATGTTGGCGTAAAGATTATAAATTTCACGCATGAGGACTAATTCCCTTACCTAAATGCTTAGGTCAAACATAAGATCATTAGATTTTGTCATGCTTGCCTTATTGCTTTATAACTTTTGCTGGCTTCTTTTTAGGGCTTCAAGTTCCTTAAGCCATAGATGAATATTTTTATTCTTTTGTGAATTTATATTGAAAATAAATATAGAAGAAAGCTTGCTCAACCTATAGAGGGGAGCCTGAATGGAATAATTTGCATCTAAATTTAATTTTTACGATATGCTCATTGAAGTTTAATTTGAGATGCCATTCTCTCTTATTTTTCCAAAAGATTTTTGTTAGTTGTTGTATATATATATATATAAATGAGTGATACCAATATGTCTTATGTCTGTCACCGAAATAATAGATTCTTGTGCTTTTAAAGATCATAACATAATTGGGATATGAGTTGGTGTGGTGCCCCAAATCAGTAGACAATGCAGTCTTAAAAACCTCACATTGTACGTCTTTACAATCTTTAGTGGAATTGCTTTAATTGACTTAGAGAAATAGTTAGTGAAATCGAGGATAAACTACTATCGTGAGGAACACAAAGGGGTCTATTGGATCAATTATATAGTGCTCCAACTTTCAAGCAACTGTGATGCTTCTTCATGAATCTTTTAATTCAAACACTATCAACCATCAACTAATATGTTAAAGAGTATTTTATTTTCATCTTAATTATTTTGATATAGTGGAATTTTTGACAATCAACTGTATATAGCATTAGAGTTTTTTGTTGGGATTAGTACTGTAAGTATTGTAGAATGCGTTAAGTGCTGCTTTATGCTATCAAAGGATAATTGAAAAGCAAATATGTTAATACTCACCTAAGAGGTTAGAGATAAACATCTTTATGTATGCCCCTCTATCTTGGAGTCATGAAATCTCTATGTTTTCTTTAATTTTAGATATTGATTTCAATGCACTTATGTCATTGATATCGGAGTTAACTCAAACCAAAATGGAAACGCAAATATTATTTCTGAATTCCAAACATATTTCAAACACGATACAGGAAAGCAGGAAATAGACGACAAACAAAATGACAACATAACAATAAAAGACGTCCTTGAGGGACGTAGGGACGGAGGCTGTTGGACGACAGTTGGTGGTTGAGGAAAGAAAAATGTAGCTATGGGAAGCCGCTGAAACAACAAGATAGCTTGGGACGGCAGTCAAAACTGCAACCGATTGTTGTTTGGGGCTGCTAGACAATAGGAAAACAATAAAGCGAAGGCGTTGCGTGTTGAGGCAGCGAAGGTGGAGGGTTGGGACAATGAGAGCAATGAGGACAAGGGGGGTTAAGGCAATGGGGCCAGTTGGAATTGCAAAAAACAGTAAATCCTTTCTGTTTTGTGCAGTAACAACTAGGGTGTCAATGGTAATGACGTCGCAATGCAACTGGAGAGGTGCATGAACGCTGTCGGAGGCTAGATTGGCGGCTGCGGCGAAAGCCAGAGGGGTGGAGTTTCTGTGGAAGAAGTAGGATAATAGCCGAGAGGATGGACGAAGAAATAAATATCTCGGTGGGGTCGAGCTACAGCCGGAGCACCACTCACACCTATGAAGACGATCGCCACCTCGGACAAGGGACAACCGGAGCACTGCCTTAACATCAAATACAACCCTCAAGAGGGTAAATACTAAGACAAAATTGAATTCAAATTTCATAAAACAACCCCTTAACTCAAAGCACAACCTCTCTTATTTATAAAGAGACATAACCTATCTTAGGAATTATTTAAAATAAGAAGTAATCAGATTTCAGATTTGAGAAAATGATTTAAATTAGGATGGAGAATAAAAATTAGATTTCAGTTTGTAGGAAATGTTTTGAATTAAGAAGGAGAAGAAAAATCAAATTTTAGTTTTAGGAAAAAAAATTAATTAGAAAGGAGACAAAAAATCATATTTCAGTTTTAGCAAAATGTTTTAAATTTGAAAAGGCCTAGGAAGGAAAGTAAGAAAAGAAGGAAAGGAAAAAAATGAAAGAAGGGAAAAAGGACAGGAGGCGAGAGGAAGGAGGGGTTGGCAGGCCAGCTTGCTTGAGGACCGACCGATCCTCTCTTGAGCCTCGTGTCAGTCTCCTGGGGTTGGGCGAGCTTCAACCTCACATGTCGAAGCTTCTAATCCCATTTCTTTAATCATGAAAGCACTTGGATCCCACTGCAGACTGTACTGCCTCCCAACGCACTTGCGAGTGTATCTTCCTCTCGGTCCAATCTCCTGGGACTATAATCTCTTGCATGGTGGTGGCCATGATGATAGAGAATAGGTTGTCACTAAAACTGATCCCTCTATTCTACTGGCAAGGGCTCCTGTCTTCGCGGGTGTTACGAAAGGAAGTAGAATGAGGTTTTTGCCGTTCTTGGTGAAGGAATATGTATTTCTGAATCCATCGTGTTGAGTTTTCCGGTCAAATTGTCACGGTCTTTCTACCAAAAGGTGGCAGGCATCCATGTGGACCACATCACACTATACCTAGTTTTGTAGCTGACTCCCTACTTGAAAACTCTACTAGGCATTGTCGGTCGATACTGATCTTATTTTTTTCTTTTTCAGTCACTTTAGTGAATATGACTGGGAATATCTCTGAGTTCTGAGTCTCAATTTCTCTACTATCTGGGTCGATGCCACATTATTACTGCTACTGTTGTCCATGATAAGAATGCATACCTTTTTGTTCATTGTACGGGGGTGTAGAAAATATTGTGGCAAAGCCACAATGGATGCCTCGTGTACTCGGCTTGAAGAATCCGTCGAATCACAATTTCTCTCCCTCATCTGGTGGAAGCTTAATACTTCTCACCCTGTTTTTCAGCTTCCGGCTCCTCGCTAATCTCTCCCACGTGCCCTACTCGATAAAAGATACAACTTTGCTCGTCCGACAACTGGAAGCTATTTACCATAATCCGTGGCATTTGAAGCATTTTCTGGCTGGCACTGCAGTCGGCTTCTTCTCACTAGGCTTGGCTTTCTTCGTATTCAAACCAATTTTTTCAACTTTCTGAGGCGTCCTCCTGTTGGTGTCTCCAACTATGGGTGGTTGTCGGCTCTGCTTTTGCTATCTTTCTACTTTCAATGTTAGTGTTTGGATATCCCCCAATATCCAATATGCCTGTAAGTGCACCACATTGCTAATACTAGGCTTTAAGCCCCCAAAATTTCTGGCTACTGTATTCTCCTCTAGCTCTGTCAGGTCGCACTTCAACTATAAGTGGTCGAACTGAGCTGTGAACTCCTCCAATGAAAGGTCTCTCTGCCACAGATTGTAGAGTTTCAAAAACATGTCTTGGAGGTAATGATAGGGAAGATACCTTCTGCATAGTTTTTTTCAGCTTCTCCCACTTAGTAATCTTTTCGCTGCCTTCTCGCCTCCTTTGTCGCTGTACATTCTCCATGGGGAAGCACTTTTCTTCAATTTGATAGCAACTAATTTGACTCGCCCTCTTCAGGCATTTCTTTGTATTCGAAGATTTGTTCAACTGCCTATAGTCATTCGATAAATTCATTCGGATCTATGCTACCCTCAAACTTAAGTAAATCTACCTTGATCCCGTAGTCTTGGTGCCCTCCAAATGACGTCTCTTCTCGGAAAGTTTCCTGTGAGGGACGCAGGTATCCCTCTTTAGGCCTCCATTTCAAAATACCGTGGCCTATCTTCTTCATTGTTGAAATTATCCCTATGAAAGGTATTCAGATCCTCTTTTCTCTTTCCCCTTCGACTCGGTCTCGGTCGAAGGTAACTTCTTTTTGTGTCATCTCTTCAAAGGTAATTTCTTCC